GTAGGTAACAACTGCAACTAAAATAAAAGGGGTGGGTTCTACTTACATTCCAAAAATGGGAACTGGTCTGCATCCAGTTTGCAAATGTCCAGATGTCTCGCACCCCACCCAGCCTTAAGGCCATCAACATTAAGAGCTTTCAGAGAGCTCCCAGCAGTTTGATACCATACGGAAGCCTACTGGGACATTCCACACCAGTTAACACACACCTTATGGAACAGTTGGAGCTTCAGGGATTTGTAGAATAAAAGTTGTGTCAATAACCCCACAATAACTAGACTGGTGAGGGAACAAGGCAACAAGTCACATGAGAAGCTGCTGAAGGAACTCTACGGGGAAATCCAGAGAGTACATGACAGCTGCAGATTTATGGGAATGGGACATGTTCTTACTTAGATCCAGATTGTAGAACTCTTTCGGAAGGAGCTTTACAACAATTACCGTATTCTCTCTATTGGAGGTACAGTTTAAGTACAGGTCTGGGGACTACCAGCAAGTGTCCAGAGAAGGGATTCCTGCACTGAATGAGGGTGAAAGTGACTATATAACCCTACACCTGAGGGTTAAGATCAGAAGTCTACAAGGGTCAGCCAGGCAACTAAGATGAGTGAAACAGGACCTGTGTGACAAAGGATCAGTGGTGGGGACTGTGGCAAACGGGACCATCTAAGAGGGGGTCACACCACTCTTCAGTTGATTGCTGTCATTTAGGAATGAAAGCCCCATGTCACCAGATCATCTAGTCTATTTTTCAAGAAAAGCTGGAAAACTATATTTGTATGCAAACTCTACTGATTTCCAAAGGACAAAAGCTAACTCAACATTTCAAAACATGTGTCTCAAACAGAATAGATTAGTGGCACCCAGGAACAACTTGAACCTCACCCTCAACCCTGAGACTAGGATGGTCAATACAGCAGAGAAGAAACCGACAGGTTCCAAAATTACTGTCACATTTTGTCTGCAGTTTGAATCACCAGACCAACCACTTCAAGCTGCAATTCAGATGCACTGACCAATAAATAATGAATGGGGTCTGGCAAGTGAAGATAACCGAGAGACCGTTAAGTCACTAAGAGCTGAATCCTCCCCTGCGCACCATGTAATTGAGGAAGGGCTTCCATTTGCTTGTAAACAGAAACATCGCATGCTAGTGACCTGCATGTCAAAATGAGGGTTGCCCCACTGTGGCAGTTGGTTGTCCTGTTGCTGAGGTCATCCCCACCCTAGTTGGTAAACAGCACTGAAAGTCTTCCCTGGCCCTCTGAAATCCAGTCAGTGATCAACCAGAGAACGACCAAGAGCTTCCCTTGAGAGAGAATGCGTCACTAGGGAAATGATCCCATTCAGCTCTGGTTCTCGGCCCTCCCAGAAACCCCACTGCCACGTACAGATTTTCAATCATCAAAAGACCTTTGCCCAGCAGATATCTGTGCGTGGCTGTATTTGGGACAAAGGCAAAGCTGCTGACTCCTTTCTGTGTTTTTTTCAGTCCCCTGCTTCAAATACTCTATTTTGAATTTTACCTGATCACTTTCAATGTCCAAAGGTAAGCCGGCTATCAGTTTAGGATTAATACCACGGCGTTGTGTGGTGGTGTGTTTACAGGTAGCTCTTAGTTAAGGGTTCCCAACACTCTGAACAGAGCAGCACATTTCTTATGTATAGTAAGTTATTTTACTTGAAAAGAATAAGATAAATAAAAAGACCCTGAAATGTATTATGAAAATTTTGAAAATGATGCACAGGAAATTCAAAGTAATCCAATATTAACAAATAATGATAGTAATGAAACCTTACCCTTAAGAGCATATTCACTTGATTATTTCTTTTCACAGATATGGCAATGACATCTCCGTTATATAAATGGGAGATCTGAGAGAAACATTAACTTCCCACTTTAACTCCAAAAATAGCTACTGTCCACCTATTGCTTCCCACCCTTCAGTAGATCGCTACCAACAAGCCCAGAGCAGGTCTCCTTCCCCTGACCATCCATTCTTCACAGAGCACCCACAGCTACTCTGAAAACAGGTAACTCTTACACACCTCTGCTTCTCACAGCACAGCAGGGAAAGCGCAGAGGGCTAACCTCAGCCCAGGAGGTTCTGCATGGCCTGGCCCCTGCCCCTCAACCTCACTCCTCGGTTCTCCCGCCTCCTTACTCTATCCACACTGCCTTCCAACTGTGCCTGGAACACACCCAGCTTGTCCCCAAGACTGTGCACTTGTGGTTTTGTCAGCCCATCTTCTGCGGGCTCATCTGAAGGCCATCTCTCGGAAAAGCCTCTCCTCAAAACCCAATCCCAGAAGCTGGGCCTCTCCCACCTCTCTCTCTCTCTCTTTCTCTCTCCCTCTCTCTCCTTTAAACTTATGGTACTATCTGAATTTACCTAGTTCATCCCTCAATTCTAGAATCTGAATTCCATGAAAATGAAGCCCTGTGTGTCTCAATCACATTGCTTTGTATTTAGTGCCTGGTACATAGTAGATGCTCAATAAATATTTTTTCTTTTTTTTTTTTTTCCAATTTTTTAAATTAATTTATTTTTGTTACAGATGTTTCTCCCTTTTTCTCCCTAGACACCCTCAATAAATATTTCTTAAAGTCAGTAAAGGAATAAACAAAGTTTGTACTAAGAATAAACTAGCACACCTAATTCAATCAGTGTCTATTCTTATAGTATACATTTCTTTCCCCTCCACTGCTAAGTTTATTTTTAAAAGAAATATATATATATTATATTTTATATGATGTAAGTATATATAATATAGATCTAATATATATTAGACAATTGCTATCAGTGCGTATACCTGTAAATGGTCAAAGTGTTAGTGAGGGTACATAGCAGGTGCTGGCTTCCCAGAGACAGGCAGTCAGAGCCCACTGCGCATCCCTTCAAACCACAAAGCTCCCACAGAATTCTGCGACTCTTTTCCCAAAACAATGAGGCTTTGGAGCTCAATGTTCCCCCTTTGACTTCTATGGGAACTTCTCAGTGTCTCAAGGGGTCAGTGAACCAATTATCATGGGTGTTAAAGAATCGGGCTTCCCCTGGTCGGTGTGGCTCAGTTGGTCGGGCATCATCCCTGCACTGGAGGGTCGCCAGTTCCATTCCTGGTAGGGACACATGCCCACGTTTCAGGCTTGATCCCTGGTGGGGGGTGGGCAGTGTGGGAAGTAACCCATTGATGTTACCCTCTCACATCTATGTTTCTCTTTCTTTCTCCCTCTCCCTTCCTCTCTGTCTAAAATCAATGAAGAATCTTTTAAAAAAAAAATCAGGCTTAAGATGAACCAAGGTATAAATAACCTGATGATCACCTTCCTTTCCAAGAAATACCCATTTTCTGGGGTGTCAGGGGGAGGAATACAGATGCCTAAACTTCACAGAGGTCCCACTCTGGTTGCTAAAGTACCTAGTCAGCACTTTCCTTACTGCTCTGTGCTGGGAGCCTCAAAGAGGATGGAAAATTGTATCTGCCCCCAAATCTAACCGGCTGAAGGAATGAATGCGTATTCCTCACCACCAAAGTTCACAAGGCATTGACATAAGTGGAGAAGAAATGAGCAACCAGCTGCCCAGGCTTCTGTTTGGGGGGAAACAGCTGGGGTGCTGGGCAAGCCCTTTCACACCTCCGAAGGGATTTCTCAATTGTCAGACCAGTGGCTGAGCCAGATTACCATTCCTCCCAACTCTGCTGCCCCCTCATTTTCAGTAGCTCTGCGGATGCTGGCCTTGGTGAGTCTGTGGTGACAGACTGGTGTCAGCCTTAAGGACAAAGGGCCCATTTCACTGAAGAGCATCACCATGCTGTCCATGGCAGCACCTTCTGCACAAATGTCTGGAGAACAGAGAGAACCCCCCGTTCCAATGGGCAGTGACTGGAAGTGGGCAGGCTGGAAAATGCCAATTGGGTGGGCTCTCTCGCCAGGGCCACCAGAACTCCCTCTGTGAGGAAATCTGTCCAGGTCCTGGCAGCTCACCAGTGCCTCTTGGTGGCCAGAATGCCATCTCCTTCTTATGGACCAGGCCAATACTTAATTGCCCTGATCCCTGAGTTCCATGTTGGCCCAAGATTTGGTCCTGAGCCTTTTGGGATTGTCAGCAATTTAAAAGACATATTTTCCTGCTCTTACTCACATACCAGTCTCCCAGCCCAGCATTCTCATTCGGGTCAAAGGCGATTTGTGCAAGACTGATTTGTTAATACAAGTCCCTCCCAAACCTGAGCGCAGGTGCCCTCAAAGGTGGCTAGCTCCCTGTGGAGTCCCCCACAGCCCTCCCTCCTCCTTCAGCGTCCCCTCTGCTGCAATCCCAACAACCACGGGCCCGAATGGAAGCCCGACTTTCCGTTTTGGGAGCTAGAAACTTCCAGTGGAAGCTCCGGGGATGAGGGGGGAAGATCATATTCTCTGCTCCAGGTTTTGTTTGATTTTTAAAAAACAACCCTCTTGCCCCGGGGTGGAGCAGCCTTGCTCTTCCCCTCCGGGAGCTCTGGGACGTGAGGAGCAAAGGAGCAGAGCAGAGGCCCAAGGGCCTTGTTTTTGCGAGTCTAGTCCTAAAACAGCGGCTCCGAACTGCGTGGATGCAGAAGCAATACTCCCCAAAGGGAGGGTTTTGCTTCGTCCCAGCAAGAGACCTATGGATAAGAAAACCCCCGAGTTCCCAGTTTCCCTGGCCTGATTCTCCCTTGCGGCACCGAATTCTTCGGGTTTCTTCCTCGGGGAAAGGTTTGGGAGCCCTGGGTTCGAAAGTGGCTGTCCCCGAGGGCGGCGGGGACGGCGAGCCCGGCGCCGGCCAGGAGGGGGTACGAGTCCAGCTCTGCCACCTCCTCAAGGTCATCGCTGCTCCTGGTCCTCCGCCTCCAGCGCGGCACCAGGGCAGCCTGAGCCCCGCACCTCCCCGGGCTCCCGCCTCTCCCCCGGGGTCCGGCCTCTCCCCCGGGGTCCCGCCTCTCCCCCGGGCTCCAGCCTCTCCCCCGGGGTCCCGCCTCACCCGGCTGCGGCGAGCTGCTCTCCAGAACCGGGGAGCCTGGGCGCGTTCCGCGGCGCACCCGGCTGCCCTCGCTGCCAGCACCACGGGCCTCTGCCGGCTGCAGTGACCGCGGCCACGGGGCGGCCAGACAACTCCGGCGGGCGGAGGGCGGCGGGCGAGTGGGCAGCCCGCGGGCTTTGTCCTCGGCCGGTCCCGCGCGGTCTTATCGCCCCAACTTCTCCTCCCCCGGCTGCGGGAGGAGGAGGGGCCGGGGAGGAGCGTGTGGCCACCGGCCTCCACAAGCAGAGGCAGCTTGGGATGCGAGGTTGCCTAGGCGCACCCAACACCCTCCCCAGGGCCCGGGTTCCCGCAGCCTGGACCTGCGGGTGAACTTAACCCACCCTGGGATGGACCCAGACAGCGCCCGCGATGGGTGCTGTGCGCCCCACTTCTTGTTCTCAGGCTCCGTTCTGATTCCCATCAGATCTGGTCCCTGTTTAACTCGCCCCACGTCAAGCCGACCTTGCTGGTCTCACCGGATTCCCTCTGCTGGCATCTGTAATGTGGTCTGCCGGGTGCATGCCATTTCGGGACATTGTGGGGTGGACACCAACTTAAAAACTGCGCAGACTGTGCTGTGGGTTGGAAGGCCTGCCACGGTGTCGGTTTCATTTCTCCGTGGAAGTCCTACGCAAGGTGATGGGAAAGAGCGATAATGACTTGGGGGGAAATGGTGTAAGAGGGGCAGCTCATAGCTGTTTATCCAGTTATTTGGGTGTAACTGAAATTCCCTCCCCCATTTTCCAATGCTTTCTCCTCAATCCACTTTCTAATAAAAACATATTTAGTAAAAGTTTCAGTTGGAAACTCAGGGAATATAGTTTGAAATGTGTGTCTGGTGTTGTTAAAGTTTGCATTTTTAAAATAGTGATTTCTTTGGGGGTGGAGGGGTGACAGAACTGTAAATAAAATTTATTGTATTTTTATCCTGAGGATTCAGCAGTAAGACATGGATTATAGCTCCTTTCTCCCACTTGTGAGATCATCCAAGTACATCCGTCAGAGACACCTTGTGGGAATGAAATGCCAGTGCATGTCAAACACTCAGGGTGAGCCTGACTCATGGGCAACAGTCAACACTCAGCACTGTTACCTAATATTAATATCTATAAAGAAGCAGTGACTTATAAACCTAATGGATGAAACATTAAATAAAACTATATTAGCCCTGGCCGGTTTGGCTCAGTGGTAGAGCATTGGCCTGTGCACTAATGAGTCCCGGGTTCGATTCTGGCCAAGGGCACTTAACTCGGTTGCGGTTTGTCCCCTGCCCTGGTTGGGGACGTGCGGGAGGCAACTAGTCGATGTGTCCCTCTCACGTCGATGTTTCTCTCTCTCCCCCTTTCTCTCTCCCTCTTTCTCTACTTGCAGATAAATAGAAAAACATCCCTGGGTGAGGATTAAAAAAAACAACAAACTATATTAGCCTAATAACATTTTCCTGTACTACCTGAGATAACCTCCTGTATAACAAATTGCCCTAGAATATTCATCTAAAAGGGTACATAATCCAAGATATCTCTAAATTCCTCTTCCCTTTGCCCTTAAGATGAGATTAAGCAGCATGAGACTCTGCAGCAGAGTCTGGGATTTGAAAGCAGGTCTTGAAGGCAAGTATGAGTGTTTTATTTATTTCTCTCAAAGCCAGCTCTATGCCTCTCCCATCATCATCAGATATTCTCTGAGGCTGTCCAAGTAATTGGCATTCAGCAGGTTAGTGCCTGGAGAAAATACCCAGTGTAGGGCTGCCAGATTGAGCAAATAAAACTACAGGACACCCAGTTAAATTTGAATTTTAGATAAATGGATTTTAGCATAAGTATGTTCCATGCAATATTTTTGGTTGATCTGAAATTCAGATTTAACTGGGCATTCTGTGTTTTATCTGGCAAAGTCCAGATAAATGAAAGTCCAGTGAAATGAATGAAGAATGGGCCTCACATTCCAAAGGACGGCAAGCTGACACAGATTATAAAGTGAGTCTGATGTGAGTTTTGTTTTAGTGTTCTTCAGTGAAGAAAAGAAATAATGCACTTGTGTTTATAAATTGGTTATTTGTTGAGCTATTTCTTACCTTTTAATTCTTACTCTCATTTCCCACCTACAAAGCAGTGCTGACCTACTCTTTAATATAAGCAAAACATCAAGATTTTGGATTAAGCCCAGCCGGTATGGCTCAGTGGTGGAGCATCAACCCATGCACCAAGAGGTCACTGGTTCAATTCCTGGTCATCTCTCTCATTGATGTTTCTATCTCTCTCCCTCTCCCTTCCTCTCTCTAAAATCAATAAAGAAAAAAATTTTTTTAAAAGATATTGGATTAAATAATATGCTGAATAGTGTTTCCAAATAGTTTTTATTAGGGGCCAACTGTATGTCAGGTACCATTTCAAGGATGAATAAGACACAATCTGTGCCCCAAAGGGTAATAAAATAGCAACACAGAGCGCTCCTCCACATAAGTAAACGCAGAGGACTGTGGAAGTTCAGAGACGGAGTTACTGATTGTCCTTGGAAGCAGTGGGGGTCAAAGCCTCACTTGCCCTCGCTGCACAAGGGTCAATGGCTCCAATCCAGATGAGGGAGCAGAGGAGGGAAGTTCTAGGATGACAGCTGTGCCTAGACCTGGAGACTAACCTATCCTGATTGGAGTGGTTAAAGTGGAGGGGAAAATGGGATTCGATAAAACTGGAAGTATGGTTGGGAACCTGGAAGCCCTTGACACTCTTAGAAGGTAACAGAATGCAAAAAAAAAAAATGTCAAAGATTCAATTACTTAGATTAAAAACTTTCTAAATTAGGTTAAAACTAGGACCTTCAAAGGGGAAAATGTTGCAGGAAAGGCATATGCAAGTGTGGTGAAAACTAAAATGGATTGATCTTTTTCAATTTATATTTATTTTTATTTTGCTCCTTTTTATTGAATTAGTTGAGGTGACACAGGTTAACAAAAGTATACTGGTTAAGGTACACAATTCTACAACACATCATCTGGACACTGTATTGTGTGTTCATCACCCCAAGTCAAGTCTCTGCCCATCACCATTTATTCCCACTATCCCCTCCTCCAGCTCCCCACACCATATTCACGCATTCCCTGAGTTCTTTTTTAAAAAATCCTAACTGCAGGACATGCTTAGAGAGAGGAAGGGAAGGAGAGAGGGGGAAACATACATGTAGAAAGAAACATCAGTCGATTGCCTTCCTTACATGCCCTAACAGGGGACGGAACCCATAATCCAGAAATGTGTCCTGACCGGGAATCGAACTGGCAACCTTTCAGTGCACAGGACAATGCTCAACCGACTGAGCCATTCCATCTGGGCCATGTCCATAAGTTTTTTTCTCTTTTTTGCTTAATTCCTCCATCACCTACCCCCACCCAGCCACCCTGACAGCTGTCAGCCTGCTCTCTATCTATGAGTCTGTCTATTTTGCTTGTTAGTTCACTTTGTTCATTAGATTCCACATATGAATGAGATCATATGGTACTTGTCTTTCTCTTACTGGCTTATTTCACTTAGCATAATGCTCTCCAGGTCTATCTATGCTGTTGCAAAGGGTAAGATTTCCTTCTTTTTTTACAGCTGAGTAGTATTCTATTGTGTAAATGTACCACAGCCATTTTGTCTACTCATCTACTGATGGACACTTGGGCTGCTTCCAAATCTTGGCTATTGTAAATAATGCTGCAATTAAGATAGAGACGCATATATTCTTTTGAATTAGTCTTTCACGTTTCTTCAGATAAATTCCAAGAAGTAGAATTGCTGAATGATAAGGTAGTTTCATTTTTAATGTTTTGAAGTAACTCCATACTGCTCTCCACAGCACTGCAGCAGTCTGCATTCCCACAGTGCACAAGGGCTCCCTTTTCTCCACATCCTCACCAGCACTTGTTGTTTGTTGATTTATTGAAGACAGGCATTCTGACAGGTGTACGGCAATATCTCACTGTGGTTTTATTTTGTGTTCCTCTGATGATTAGTGACGTTGAGCATCTTTTCATACATCTATTGGCAATCTGTATGTCCCCTTTGGAGAACTGTCTTTTCAGGTCCTTTGCCCATTTGTTTTATTAGATTGTTTTGTTTTGTTTTTAGTGTTGAGTTTTAAATGTTCTTCATAAATTTTGGATATTAACTCCTTATCTGATGTGTTGGCAAATATTTTCTTCCATTCAGTGGGTTGTCTTTTCATTTTGTTGATTTTTTTTTTTTTTTGCTATGCAAAAACTTCTTAGTTTGATGTAATCCCATTTATTTTGTTTGTTTGTTTCCCTTGCCTGAGGTGATATTTCGGGAAAAGTATCAGTATGAGATTTGTCCCTGATTTTACTGCTTATATTTTATCCTAAAATTTTTATGGTTTCAAGTCTAATATTTAAGTCTTTAATCCGTTTGAGTTTATTCTTGTGTATGGTGTAAGAAGATGGTCTAGTTTCTTTTTTTGTACTTATCTGTCCAATATTCTCAACACCATTTATTGAATAGACTATCTTTACCCCATTGTACGTTCTTGCCTCCTTTGTCAAATGTTAATTGACTATAAAGACATGGGTTTATTTATGGGCTCTCTATTCTGTTCCATTAATCCATATGTCCATTTTTTTATGCCATGCTGTTTTGATTACTTGGCCGTGTAATGTAGTTTATATCAGGTAGTGTGATTCCTCCAACTTTGTTCTTCTTTCTCAAGATCATTGTTGCTATTCAGGGTCTTTTGTGGTTCCATATAAATTTTTGGAATATTAGTTCTATGAAATATACTATTGGTATCTGGATAGGAATTGCATGGAATCTATAGATTGCTTTGGGTAGTATAGATATTTTAATAATGTTAATTCTTCTTATCCATGAACACAGTATATGCTTCCACTTATTTGTATCTTTTTCAATTTCTTTCTTCAGTGTCATAATTTTCTGAGTACAGATCTTTTACATATTTGTTAAATTTATCCCTAGGTATTTTATTCTTTTTGAAATAAATGTGAATGAGATTGTTTTCTTAGTTTCTCTTT